AAAAGGTTCAGAAATTTAATTCGTGCAGATCGAGTTNACTCACCATACATACAAAATTATAAATAAAAAGTAACTGTTTTTGATGCACTGGTGAAGATTTTATAGTTTTTACTATCGTGTTTATTATTGTTGGATTGGTTTTATTAACCATTTTGAAAAATAAAAATCAAAACCAAGAGGAGATTTCACGAGGAGGTCAAGACTGCACGATACGCCCTTTTTTCTTCAACAAAACCGAGACAAGATCTGCTCGAAGATCTGTATGTGTTCTGCAAGAGACTGTTAGGGAGCTATGAATCTTGGCTAATCTCGACCCCTCGCAAAGCTCTAAACTCGGGTGGTCCAACATGTTTCAAAATTTCGGCTTCAATCGATAACAAACAGGGCAGGTGTAGTCTCGCCTTGAAATTGTTTTTTGTTCAAAGTCAATTCCACGTACACTTAGAGGCTTAACCGATTAAATATACGTGTAACGAGTGAACAACGTTTTTCGGATGAAGTGAAAGTCTTTTGGTTCGGGTGTACGGAAAAAAAAAAAAAAAAAAAAAAAAGAAAAAGTTGTAACTCCAAGGTTTTAACATTCCATGCGGCATTTCGAGACTCTGTATATAGTAAAAATAATCTCCAAAAGCTCGGTTTTACCCGACAATTAAAAAACCATCAGTTTGTAATTTAAACCTCTTGTCAAACAACACGCAGGTATGCCAACTAATAACTTATCGTAAACAAGTGATTTGGAGAGAAAACTTAATATATTTATCATGAAAGTTCTTTTTTAATGAGGGCGTGTAGGCGAGATAATAACCACGGTATTTATTGTTACCATGCCGATTCATCCAAAAACTTGTAATGTTGGAAAAAAAATGTAACGTACGGTGGTGGCGTAAAAACTGCAGCGACACTGTTATCAATGAAGTTGTTCAAAACCGGTGAAAGCACACGCATAACGATAAATAAAGACATATATATATATATATATACGCATAGAGAGAGGGAGAAGAAAGGAAGAGGAGACACAAGGCTAAAAGAGTAGACAAACGCGGTGGAGGAACAAGCGAGAGAAACTCTCTGGGTATAAGTAATATAAATATACGATATATATATGTTCGATAGTGTGTGCGGGTGCATGATGCGGGAGAGAGAGAGGACGCAGCGCTGGAGGCCAAGGTCGCGCGGCGAGCGAACGAACACACCAGAACGAGTCAAGTATAAGTTGTTTTGCCGATACATGCGTGTTGGCGCTCGCGCGCTTCCAATAGTTTCGCGCATAATGATTTTTCTCTCTGTGTGGTGAGGCAAAATTAATATTGTGATAACAATGTTTGGTCCTTTGAGTAAGATTTCGATAATCCGCATCACGCCGAGCGCGATGATTAATTATTCATCCATCTGCTGTGCGCTCAAGGGAGACACTCGAAAAAAAACGAGGGATGCGAGTCGTGTAATAACTTATCAGTCCCGTTACATGCATGTGTACGCTGTGACTCTCTCCCACGCACTCGTGATGGTAATATATTTATATTTCCAAGACAAATTTCTCGACAAATTTCGCTTCGACGCACAATTAAGTAATGCGTGTGTGTCTATATTATGCGCGGTATACTATACACACTTTTTGAGGAATTAGACAACAGACACGCGTTTTTCTGCCTCATGTTAGGAGTACCTAGGTACCTATTATTATTAATTTTACCACCGTTAGTAGTAGTTGTATAGTCGAATGAGCTAATATCCCGATTTACCTTGTCTCTTTGGTACCTGATATTATACACGACCGACGAGTCTTTCCGGCCAAATTACCGAGGCTTATTTAATTTGGTACATCAAATTTCGTTGATTCCTCTCTCAGTTGCACTTGCAAGATAATATAATACCAGGCTCCGAACCTCGTATTTACTCTGAATGTTCATAAAAAATACTCAAACAACTAATTGACGAGACCAAACTTCTCATTATTGAGTATCTGGCGTATGTAATAATACATGCACACTATACATATCGATACATATACCCTGTATAATGGCAAAAGCATACAAACATGTGATTAATTTCAAGGTCATCTTCTTCAATGGCACATTTGGTTATAGGTACACGCATAAGGACGAGTTTCACTTTATCGGCGTAAAATTCTATCGTGTTGGGTAAATTTATTCACAGCCGTGATCCGAAATGATTTAAATCCGAGGGGAATACCAATAGACTCGAGGACTATTGACGATGTATTTCCTGAAGCTTCGAACAAGAGACTCTTCCCCCCTCCTCCCCCTCCCCATAAAACCACTTGTGTATATTGTCATCTATACAATCGAGAGTGAAAAGAGATCCTTCTCATCACCATATCTTTCGAATCGACGATTACACGCTCGACTCTCTCTTTCTCGCCCATCGTATAAGTACGCATCACGCAGTATTATATACACCGAGGGAGAGAGGAGGTGGGTGCAGGTTGTTACCAACGCACATGTATATATGGGCCCACCCCCTCCCTCCTCCCTATCCCATCGCTTACGAGTCTCTTCTCCTCGCACGCATCGATGATATATATAATGTGTCTGTAGACCTGCAGCAAGAGCGGAATATATGTATATATACTTGTACGCGTGCAGGTAGGTACATTTAGGTACGTGCATAATATGGCACATTACAGCACATATATGTATACCTATGCATGGGGAGAGGACCGCGGAGAGTATTGATCGCGCAAGCGCCCGTGCCCGACCTATTGCTCCACCACCCCCTGGAAGAGCTGTTCTCTATATCTTCTCTTCTCCTACGTGCAACTTGGTGGTGGTGATGGTTTTTTTTTTTTTTTTCTTAATAAACTCTGCACAGGTGACCCTTCGCCAATAACCATCAGGATATGGTGGTATAAAAAAAATAGGGGGGGGGGGTGAAGCGATTTGCTGTCGGATGATTAATTTCTTTGAACGATCGGTACGCGCGTGCATTATAGTTCGAAGGAGGTTGCGACGCAGTTGTTTTTTCTCTCAATGGATGCGCTTCATGCAAATCCACATCGGATCATTTGAATGAAAAAAAAAAAAAAAAAAAAAAAAAAAAAAAAAAAAAAAAAAAAAAAAATGCAGCCACGTGGCTGCAGCTGAGATTATGTAAGAAAAAATTTACAAACGTCTGGCTCGTCAAAAATTGTTTGGATTAATTAAAACAAACTTTTAACTGGCTTACACTGGTAGTTACGTCGTGTACAACGTGTATTTGTTTATTTATTTTTTTTAATTTCATTAAAAATTTCTGCTTAACGTCTAATATATAAATCATCATTTTGTTTTACATCCAAGACCCAACATCACTCGAGAGTCACTTACTTATTTTCTCTCGATCATACTAAGAGAGGGAAAACCATGACGCCCGCAGCTTTCACGATAACATGGCTCCGAACTAATTAACATAAACCGTTTCAAAAGTTGATCGACCTTGGCCTACTTGGAAAGTAAGCTTTATGGAAAAAAATACAGCTACAAGCCATGGAAAACTCGGTTGAAAATTTTAGATCTGCCGGAATGTGAAAAAATTGAAATTTTTTTTTCAGCTAAAACAGCACCTTTCCTAATTAGTTTCTTGTATGATATATGTCATTAAAAAACCAAACCGGATCTTGCTGAATTAAAAAATTTTAATTGAATTTCTACGCGATGGCCGGTAAAATTGTATGGTCAGTTGCACTGTACCTGATTACCGTTAGTAACCACTACAGCCATTATCCACGATAAACTTCTGTGGATAATTTGAATGAAAAAAAAAAAAAAAATACTCAATGACTGGTCAAACGCTTGAGAGAGAGAGAGAGAGAGAGAGAAAAAGACCCCAACTTTGGCTTGATTTCCCAAGTCTCATTCAAAAAAATTGCACATCAGTAGTAACAGCAAAGTTATGTAAGCCGTGCCCGCGCGTCTATGCGCACAACAAAGCCAGCGATCGAACAAAGAACCTTTCCACGGATGGCGGTAAAAAACCAACACCAAGCTTTTTTTATTTAATCCCATCAGTCTACCCCCTCACAAATAAAAAAAAAAAAATAAATAAAATAAAATGAAAAAAAGCCATTGGGCCACGCTAAAGTTGAGGGCTTGTAAAAAAGGCGGTCTCGGCGAGCAGCTCGGTGAACGTGTCACCCACGGGCAGCACCTCGGCAGCAGTGTCCGGAGGGTGCCGGGACTCTGCCGGGGACACCGGAGCGGCGGGCCGGCCGCTGTCGGTGAAAAGCGCGGGCGCCAGTCCACCCCAGTCGAGCGGCAAGCTGCTGCACATAAGCCTGGGCAATCAGTTTCGCGCCGGCGGCTCGTTACCGAACGTCAACGCCACGAACAACGCCAACCCCGGCGCTGGACAGGAGGCTCTGGTCGTTCCCATCGCGACACCGGCTGCCCTACACCCGATCGACCTTCAGGTATAACCCGATGCTCTCTCTCTCTGGCCGACGAGAGAGGAACATTTGATGGCCGCTGGTGTTGTTGCTTCGATCGGATCGTTTGATTTTTTTTTTTTCCTTTTTTTGGACTGCTGCTGTTGTTGATGTTTTATCGTTTTCGATGTATATATTCTACTTTTTCTCGTAGCTGAAGCACATTTTTATGTTATCTTTTGTCATAGACAAACACAACTGTCTCGTTTATTTATTTTTTTTTGTTTCATGAAATTATTAATTGTTTGTTGTAACAAATTACAATATATTTTTAGTGTACTCACGTAGTTGGGTAGAAAGTTGAAAAAATATGTGTTAATGAGCACTACGAAGGTTAACTACAAAAAAAAAAAAAAAATAGAAGAAATTGGTTGCTGTTATCGATTTACCTGAATCGTTTCAAAATACACCCGCATGAGAAAAAAAAATATTGTATGCGCTTTTTTATACATGTTTTATCTCGTGTTTTATCACGCAGTTTTCACGCAGTAGTTGCACGTGAGCAGTTAAATATATTTTTAAGAGTCATTCTTTTTTTTTTTTTTTTTTTCATTCTAAATCATTATTAGGTGTCAGAATTTTTTATGTTTATTATCTTCCAAAAAAAATTTACATTTATTGTACGTATGTAATTGACAAAAATAAAATACAATGCGCTCGCATTTACTACAACATTCCGTTTTCACGATTGACAAATTGTCTCGTGGATGATTGAATTATCGTCACCAAAAAAATTCCAAAAAATAGCGGCTGCCGCTAGTCTAGTGTCGTCCGATTGATCGCGGACCACTGCCGATTTTAGGGCTCCGCGTCGACTTTTGGGTCTTAAACCATGAACCAGAGCTGCAACGACAAACCCAAAAAATACACATTTTTTTAGTTGGATGCAATGAAAATTTTTTGCTCGGAGTAAAGTGTTACTCACGTCGGGGCGTTTGTCCTGTACACACTTGGCCATGACGAACATCGTGTTGCAAGGATCAGTGCCCTTCAGATGTGCGCAGTGCTCGATCAGATCTTCGGCGACCGCCTTGAACTCCTCGGGTATAAAACCGACCAACATCTCAACTTCGAGCTCACCGTCATCGTCTATCTGATTTTTTCACCAAACCCCCCCGGATTGTTATTTTTACATTATTATTGCTTTTTAAATTTTGTACTTTCGTTAGAAAATAATGATTTCTCGACACACTTACTAAACTGAAGGCCTCAAAGAGGCAGTGCATATAACAAGTGATGGCGCGATTGTCTTGCAAATGGCCATCGTTCACTTCATCGATCAGATCTGCAAAATCATTTACGCCGTCGCAATACAAAGTCGCTTGAAAATTCTCAAAATTATTTAATTTGTCAAAACAAACAAACTCACCCTCGGTAGTGCCGTGCTCGGCCATGCACTTCTCCTTGTCGGGCCTTACGATCTCCATCATCTCATCGGTGACGAAATCCGGGCGCTACGAAAACACGGAAGGAATTATAATATCACTCGCACCTTTTTTTTCTTTTTTTTCTTTTTTCTCATGCCGTAATAGATAAATCGATGATCTCTCGTTAGCGATCGATGAAACTCACTTTACCAGCACTGACAAAGACCGCCTGGAGGCAGCAGACTAGGACAACCACCGACAGCACTCTTGCTACCATTTTTTTCTCGGTAACTCACACAAAAAAAAATATATATATCGCGCTGTACCGAGCAGGTAGCGAAAAAAAAATGCCTGACCAACTGGACGCAGGTCCGTTTTTATATGCTGTCCTCGCAAACACGGGATGTGGGCGGGAAACTATACGCGGAGTATACGATGTGCAACCGATAATCCTCATCCGCGAGCTAATTCTTACCCACGCGCCGGAGACGTAACCCGAAAATTGCCCGACTAGTACAAGTAGCACCAGCTACGGACCCACTTGTACCTGCTACGTGTACCTGCTATTTACCGATTTTTTTGCAGCGTAATGTACTCGCACGCTCGATTTTTCAGCTTCTTTTTCTTTTTTTCTTTTCGCGTTTCTGCGATTTTTCATTCTTTTTTTTTCCACTTTTAATTATTCGCTGAAACGATTGGTTCGTTGGGTACTTTGGCAATTACGGCCGCCGACTAAACCCGGCTTTATCTACTGATTAAGCTTTTCGAGATAAAGTTTCGCGTTACCGGACTTTAACGGGTTTGCTCGTGATTTGGAATTCCCTTGTTTGGAAATAACGTTGCTGTACATCCCCTCCCCTTTTTTTTTTTTTTTTTTTCTTAATCATTATTAATTGATAAACAATTAACGAGGTATTAGAAATAAGCACAATAAGTGTATTTATAGTCCAAGGCGTTTCGTATTCCCCTTTCATAAATTCCTATTGTTTTCGGAAAAGATACGAGCGTTCCTGGTCACCTATAAATAACCCATATTTATGCAATCGCGAATCCGAGAATTATTTTGCCCGCGCATTGTAGTAGCCGTACAGTATATGCTTCATTAAAATTGCGAGGGTGTAAATTTTACATTAAATTTATGCAATTTATCGTTGGTTGGAACACCCGTATTTTGCAAGTCATTGTAAATACTCGCAATGTGACATTTTCTCGACTACAATCATACACTCACATAGTTTTCTCAATATTTTTCAGAGTAAAAAATACATTACAAATTTTTCGCACAATATCATCTCTTATCCCCTTTATAGTGAGTTTCAATGATTATGATTCTTTACGTTAGCTCGTTAACACATTATCGTTTAATATTTAATTCACGAAAATTTATGAAGGGAATTTTTTATCGAATTATAAGAGTATCGTGATGGTCACGCCACTTTTTTATATTTAAAAAAAAAACACCCTATAATAGATCAATTTTTAAATTAAGAAGTTTTTTGGTTCGTATCCATTAGTAAAAAGAACAGAGATCATATCGCCATGCTGCGTAGTACAGTCAATAATGTCCCTGACTACCAATCAATACGATTTGGGTTCGATTGTCGGAGTCCGGAAAATTTAGAAATTTTTGTTTACACATATACAATATATAATACATGCGTGTGCGTATGTATATATTATGAGGGCCCTGTGATAATGGCAGATGGCACGCTGCAGCTAAGAGAAAATTTAAAACAAGCTTACCTTAACATATTAGTCGAATATCTTCCTATATTTTATAGTCGGGACAGTTAAAGCGAGGTTTTACTCCCCCCCCCCA